CATTAAATCAAATAAATTTCTGGCAAGATTAACATCTTTTCTTTTAAAAAAGTAAATTTGTGAAGCTGTGAAATACGATTTTAGTATTTACTATCTATGCAATCTAATATTTTTCTACTTTTTTCTAATTTTTCTTCATTACAACGTTTAAATTCAAGCAGCTAATACATTTAGCTATGATAGCAATGACATTACCTGTTCTTACTTTCAAAACACGTTTTAGCCGCCACAGCTATATTTTAACTATTTTAATTTCTTTGAGTGTGCGCCTTGCAGGAGAGAGAGGAGACAGGTGAGAAAGGGCGAAAGAAAGGGAAGCGCGTAGGTGTATTCTTTGAATTCGCGCCGATACACTCCGGAGTCGGCCGGAACGTTGCGCACGGTGGCCGCTCGCGGTAACGCGATCGGTAATTCGGTTAACCGCTCGACTCGTATGTTTTATCCTAATGAGAACAACGGTCGCGACCGATACGAGACTCCTGGGAATTGGCGGCGTCGACTGATGAAGACGAAGAGGGAGGCGGAGGCGGAGGGGCCGAGGGGAGGGCGGTGGGACGGGGGTCGTTAAACTCACGGGAGAAACGCGGTTCCCGGGTCGCTCACGACACCACACGCACACACACATCATACGTACACACATACATATATTCACACACTGGACGGCGGCCGATACGCTAATTTAATTAGCAGGAAATGGACGAGCGGCGACGGAGCCGCTAGGATTCGTGTGCGTGCGTGTGCCGCGACATTAATGCATGAACGCTCTTGGAGGAGGCGAGGAGAGAGACGAGGGGATGAGAGGTGAGGAGGACGGCCGGCGGCATGAGCCAATTCTACTTCGCTCGCATGACCAGCTTTTGCTCGAAATGAGCCGGTAATTTACGTATCGCCCGCTGCTCGATGATATCTGCGGAAGGCAGCGCGACGCGCGGGCGCGATGCGGTGGAAACAGGCCGCGGCGAAAGTAACTCCGCGAGATTGAAATTCGTCGGGTTACCGGGAGGACCCCGGTGTTATCAAGTGCAATCCACGATCGAGCCCACGGGCTCGTCGCGCCTCGTCTTGCGGCGAGCTCGAAGCCGCGGGAGTACGCGACGAAATTGTTCGCTCGCGCGCGGCCGTGCCGCCGCCTCCGGCGGGAATTTCTGTCGGGTTCGTGCAAAAGTTCGTCCCGATTTTGGATAAAAATGTACATATAATATTTATTTACTTTCAAATGTAATCAATCGGTTAAGTATGCGCCGTTTTTCGTTCGATAATCTGCCACACTAGAAAATTAAAGTTATTTTCGGCGCTAAACATACTCTTTTTTTTTTTATCATAAAGATAACTAGAAAAACAATTTTTCTTTTTAGCAACACTGTAATCGTCGCTCATCAAGTTCGTCGTCGGCTTTGGCATTCCCTCAAAATTTAACGAAAAAAGCTACGCCCACCTGTTCACCAGTTTACACTCTGCGTTTTACCTCAGTTCCTATAAATATCATCGTTTGAACTTGACTTTGTTCCAATTATTTGTATATTTGTTTCCACATTAATGATTATATTTTCTATTTTATCCTCATTTCATACATATATTTTACATTATATCTCTATATTCATACCGAGGAACGATAACCGTGATTTGAATGACACGGTGCGTTTCTCAAGAGTGCGCCGCGGACGACTTTCGCGCTGTAAGATATAATTGCGGAGATTTGAGGAACGGCGAGGCGCGTCGAGGAAACGTCTTTCTTACGGTCGTGAAGTCGGCCGCGGTTCGCGAACGCATTACGGGGTCTCGCATGTCCTACGACGGACAGGAACAGAAACTTTAGTCATAATACCGTGCATTCACACCGGCTAGTTCTCCCCTCCTCCCCCGTCGTAGCTTCGAGCGGTATCATTGTAACGTCTCATTCTAACTGGTTATCTGGTGGCTATCAACCCGGTCAAAACACGGCAGGCAACCTGCCGGTTCAATATGAACCGATCGCTTCCTTATCTACGATCAACAGGAAGAAATTACTCAGGAGAATGACAGTGAGGTGAACGTTGAACGCTGGAGTTGTATTTATTAAAGCGGCATCGCGGGGATCGGAGATCCGGAGATAGCGCGCGCGCGCGCGCCAGCGAGCGTACGAAGTGAAGATCGCGCCGAGTAATGATAAACAAAGAAACAAAGAGAGGTACCTCGAGACCGAGATTATCGTGCGACGCGATTTATAATACTAATTCCACACCGATCGGCCGCTTCCCATGACTTTAATTTCCAGCAAAAGGTTATTTCCCACCTATCCGCCTTCGCGTTTGGAAACTCTTGTCCATTGTCGGTGACTTTCTTTCTTTTCCTCGCGCACCTTTCTCATTGACGTGTACGGCTCGCTGACAATGCGAAATCGTGTGGAAATTCGAGAGACCTGCATGCAATATCCGCGCGAGAAGGACGATCGCGATAATGTTCGCGGAATATTGCCCGCAAGGAGAGCGAACGATACGCTCTCTGCGATGGATCTCAGGCGGGAGATGAAAGCGGAGACGCGAGGCGTTGCTCGCGGCTCGTTTGTGTTCTCATGGAACGACGAAGAGAGAGGAATAGAATAACGTTGATACGCCTTCCCGGAAAAACCGTAAAGCCGATAAGGTAATGGTAATTGAATGAACGATTATACCCGGGTAGTTACAGTGAATAAATTGGCGGAGTGCGCGGAGAAGAAAGGGACGGAATATACGCGAGAGAGTATCCCGCGACGACAAAAGCGGCGAACGGAAACCGACGAACGGGGGGTGTGCATATACACGCGTGTGTGTGTTTCGAGTTTAGGAAAAACGCGAGTCGTAACGGGGAACGCGATGTGTAACCGCCGAAAGAAGAAGCGCTTTATGCCAGACCGCGAGCAAAATGCGGCGAACGCTTCGCGAGAAGTCGTAAACCGAGAGGGGGAGAGAGAAAGACGGCACCAAAGGTGAAGGCCGGAAGCGGTAAATGAACGGCGAGGGAAAAGACGACGGAACGTCGCGCCGCCGCGTCAGCGTGGAAAATACACAATGACAGAAAGAGGGTACTCTAATGGCCCAGATTTTATCGGCGTCTTCTCCCCCCCCCCCCTTCCGAAGCGGCCTCTCTCACCATCGGTACCNCTATGCACCGCGCGGCGGATAGAAAACGCGTGTTATCTCGACACGAGGGTCTGAAAGTCCACTTCGTAGAAACGCGCGAGATTTCGTGGGAAAATCCGTTTCGCGCCGATGCCGGCAGATTTTCACCGCGGACTCCTGTCATTACGACAGCACGCGTAATGCGCCGCAACGATATGTCACGCGTGATACTCGCGGGATCGGATTGCGATTCGTTCGCGTTGAAATTCTCAAACGCTGCATCCGGCGATACGGGCCGCGTATGTTGCGCTAGATAAATTCGCAATTTATCGGTCAGCATCTACACGCGCGATTAATATCGCAAAACAGTGTTGCTTTTATTATATTTCATTTATGAGGGATGAGACTTCTCCCGTACGTAACCTTATGGGCTATTTTATTATTTCAACACTGGGAGAATTTTATAGTACGAGTTACCGTGTAATTTTGTAATCGAGGGACATATCAATATTCTTCTGCCTCTTAATTTATTATCTTTCCTCTCCATGCACGATAAAAACATTTGTTACAAACGGTCCAGCTAAATTTTCGTGCTGCTTTAATAAGACGAATATGTTAATTTTACATATTTGTGTACTTTTTAACATATCCCCCCTATTAAAGTAATACAAAAATTTCGGTGGACCATTTGTCACACGAAATTTTTTACCGTGCATGTACTGAACTTATTGTGCTGCTCAGCAAAATTTGCTACGTTCCTCAACCAAATAAATAAACTCTATTAACAGTACATAATGTAACATTTCTTACATTATTAGAAAATGTAATAAAAAAATCGAAGGGAATTTATATGAAAAAAGCTATAATATCCCCTCCGTGAAGATATATATCTTTACTTATTTAAAAGAAGCCGCCTTACTTTTCGCTTCAAATTTTTTTCTGCTTCTTATTATTTCCTTATCTTCTTCAGATTTATACCTTTCTGCGATCCTACATGACCGAGACAATAAAGACCATATTTTGCTTCGTATCGATTTCACGTGACGTGCGGAACATTATCGATTTACAAGCCGGTATCTATCGGCGCTTTCGCTGGCACACCTGTGATGCATAAAATTACACCGGCCGGACTATGAGTCTTAATTATTCGCTTATTTGTCAGGCTGTACCGCGTAAATCGTTTGCGTGCGATCAGCGCTATCGGTCGGCTCGCGTGCAGGATGCATCGCCGCCGATTGAAAGTGCGTTTCACTGTTTCGGCGACGATGTGGAATGTTGGCGAGCTTTCTACTACAGGTATGTACAAAGCGTACGACTTCCGGCACGAGCACCGTGTCGGAATCTCGCCGGCGTCTCGTCGACGGGCATAATTAACGTGAACTCGCGAGTCCGGGATGCAGTGGCTCGTATTATGTGTATGAAAATTCTTGGACGTTACTCCGAGTTGAAATTTTGCTTCTGCATTAATTCTGTAAATTTCCTCGAATTCGAAAGATCAATGAAAAATCGATACACAATACTACATATGTTTACTTGCTGCCATCTCCATATTGAGAAAAGACTCATTTCGATTAAAAAAATCAACAATCGTGACATTTACGCTACATTTTGTGGCCGGTTTTCGTAGTTATAAATTATTTCGAACCTTCAATTGGGAACATAATTATAATTATACAGATTCGTATTCATTTACCGTTATTCGGCTGTTCGGATCGATATCTCTTGTATGAAATAATACAATAGGAATACAGAGTACAAGTTGACGAATAATTAAAAATTTATGAAGCTGTAATTACTTGTCAAGTAATGACGGACTATGAATGTCGGTCTAAATTTCGACTCGGGATATCTTCTTATCCTCGGTTGGTTCATCTTAAGCGCCCATTAAAATAAAAAAAATGCATGATAAATGATTTGACATACCTGGCAATGTATGACGTACCGCTCTGCTCTCATGTCGGCATCCTACGTCCTTCCCGATTCAGCATCCTGGCTCGCGGCTGCTCCGGATACTCACTCATGGCACTGACACTGACACTCCACTCCACTCAGATGCGATTCGATCGGAGAAACGTGTGTGTTAATTAAAGCGTTGCCGACGAGAATCCAATTAAATATTTTAAGATCCAATGGAAGCGATAACTAATTCACCAACTGGCGCTCCGCGTCACGGTATGTACGTCGTTCGTCGGCTCAAAGCGCAATGTCTCTTTTATGGAAAAATCCGCGTGATCCACACGAAAGTCCTTGTGACTTTAACCTCCTTGAAGGTTTGGTATGTTTGGAAAGCGTCGATTGTTGTGATCTGCCGGCTGTTTATATAGCGTAACGACGATCAACCATTCACGACATTTACACACACTCATACACACAGCCTATAAGTAAGTTGAATAATAATAATAAACTAGGATACAGAAACTATCAAATCGTTTAAAGGGCGTCTGAAAAATTATAAATGAATTATGATAAAATATAAAGCTACGAGAAGCTAAGCACGGAAGTTCTAGTGCAATCTTAATATTAATTATGTCATTATTAATATTATTGCGGGAGAGTAAAATTGTCCATTGTGTGTACAAAACGTACTGACTTTTGGGACGAACGAAACACGGCGACAGCCTTTCGAAACGACTCTTTGAATCGCAATAATATTCGTTATTAATTTAAAATTCCCTGGCTGAGGCAATATTTTTCGCAATATAATAAGTAGAGTCATTAAATTGCTCACTAATTTAGTTAGCAATTGGGTGAGGTTTTTCAGGAAATTTTAAATTACTAACGAATATTTTACTGGGATTCAAAGGGTCGGTTCACAGTAGAAGGTTGCCGCTACGTTTCGTTTGTCCGAAAATTTGGTATATTTCGCACACACGATGGACAACTTTACCGTTCCACAATAATATTAATAGTGACATCATTAATATTAAAATGATATTAGAACATCCGTGTTCGGCTTTTCATAGCCTTATATTCTACTTTACCTTTCATCAGAATTGTTATATTTTAAAATTTAAATGATTTATCATTATATCTGATAAATTTTCCCATAAATTATTGATCTACGAAAATGATTCTTCCTCGCAAAAATTCTCATCGTCGACGAGAACAATAAATGACGTAATAACGGTCTAACGTTAGGCAAAAGCCGTCTTTTTGTCCGACAATCGTCAGAGTCGTGTATCATACTTCCGTAGAAAAGAAAGAAACACGACCACTCATAATTGCACGATCCTTTGTGCGGCAATGAAGACAAAATCGCTCACTAGACATCCGAGACGAAGGAGAACGAGCGGTTTTCTTTTCGAACACCTGGACTCGAAAGAATCTTTTAGCTCGCTATTTACCTTGTTGAGGCCATGTCCGGCCAGACGTTACGAGGATATCGAGGAGGAGTTTCGATCTTTTATAATGAAACGAATCTACGGTCGAAACAGGTGAAGGCCCGTGGAACCGACGTGTTTCACACGCCTGCACGCGCGTGCATCTCCGTTCGTCGTCGTCGTACGTTAACGTCGTCGTCGTCGTCGTACAATAAAAGGGCTGCATCCGCTGTAGACGCATCGGCCGGACAATAGGTTTCCCCGGTAGACGAAATTAGTGTTATTATTGGACCAAATGTCTGGGGCCACGTCGTGGGAAGAAATGTTTCTCGACAGCCTCCACTTCCTCCGGTCTGCTCCTTCCTCGTCTTGTTCCTCGTGCCGTTTCTCGCTCCACTTTTAAGTGACAGCAGGCGATTTGACTCTAGATGTGGCGGCCGCTACGCGATGATCACTCGTTTTTTACTTCGCACACCGATCCGAAAGATGTCGAAACGTCGGATGTACGAAACGGACTGAAATAAGTCGCGTACTTATTCGTAGATTAACTGTGATACTCTGTAATATTTACTGTGTAAATGAGCTCAAATCTAAAGTATCCTTTACAAAAATATATTTGGCGTTTTCAACTCGCGAAAACGGTTAGTTTGAATGGTGAAAGCGTGCATCCATCTGAGTGAACAAGATCAACATTGAAATGTAAAATGTATTCTTCTAACAAGTGTTGAATATCAATTCAACGCTAAATATTAACGTAAATGCAATATGTTAAATTGTACAATACACGCATATGTTAAAAATTTAATACAAAAACAAAGATCGACTTGAACACAAGTAAAACATGTTTTTTACCCTATGCGATTGAATTAAGAAAATTTTTTTCATCGATAAATTCCATTGTAAGGCAATATTATTTTCGATTTATGTATCTTCGTCTTGTATATAAAATCCGCGACAACTCTTCCGTCGACAATGAAAAGCGCCGATGAGAGAGATGAAAAGTCAACGTCCGCGCTATTGTGGTCGCCCGGTTTTGTGTCATAAAGTTATCACGCGGCTTCTCGTCCTGCAGAACGGCGCATGACGCGGCGAAACGATGGATGTTGCGGCGAGCAGGCAACCATAAGGGTAGAGCCCGTGACGCAAATTATGATCAAAGACTGCAATTATACGTATACATCTACACGTGCACTACACGTGCAATGCAGTAGAGTACATCAACATTATAACTGGGCGTTCGAAAAGTACGAGCGTCCATCGTGCGCGCAGATTTATCGGCAACAATTTCATTCGCGTCGCAAAAAGAGAGAGAGAGAGAGAGAGAGACGAGCGTATTATCGTTCTCGAACGTCAGCCGTTCGTTCCGTCGTCGTCGTGATAGGAATGTCACATTCGCTCGTGAAACAAAGAGACGGACGTGTCTCGTTTCGGTCGGGCTTGATACGCGAAAGGATGTTTAAAAGAGCTACTCTCCGCGACGAGGCTCGGTACAAAGAGGGCCGGCGGTTACGCGGTCGACTTTATAAATTTACAACCGCAAGAGAGAAAATAATCGTAACGACGCGAGAGAGAAAGGAAGAGAGAGAGAGAGAAAAGGAGAGGTCTCGACGACAAAGGGGCCGCGCGAGGAGGACCGGAGAGGAGGGAGGGGAGCAGAGAGGAAATCGTGGCACGCCGGAGTGCAGTAGATTGTATTCAGAGGCTCGACAGGAAGTAGGCGTTCGATGGAATTCGGCCAAGGTAGGAGCCGACCGAAGGTGGAAGTCGCCCATTATGATTACGTCCTTTCGTTTGTAAAAACAAACCGCGTGCCGTGCGCGCGAACGCGCGCTGGAACGTGGCTACCGCCCACGCCCTGAAAAAGGGGAAAACGAGGTTTAGAGAGCGCAAGAGAACCGGTGTGTGATTCGTCGAGGCGACGTTGTGCTCTCGCTTCGGGTGTCCGTGCGACTCGTGTGCCGCTCGGAAAATGCGTTCGCCTTTTCCGCTCGACACGGGAAGGAGGGAATGCGCGTTCGCACCTTCCATCGCGGTGGAAAGTGAACGTTCCCGCCGAGACGCGCCTCAACGCCCCGCCGCGATCGATCAATTTTACCGTAAATACAGACTCGAAATACCGCGGTCGATAATCGGCCGTGATTGAATGCGCGCGAAATGTGTATCCATTAGCCGGGCCGCGGCGATTGATATATTTTATCGGGCGATAATATGTATCCGCGACTGTTACGAAAGCCGACGGTGAATTTAGCCGAGTGTTTAACGCCGCTTTCGGCTGACAAATACGACTTGTCCGGCGTGCGAAAAGAGCTCTCGATTCCGTTGCGAATTACGAATCAACTCACGCGGGTTTCTCTTTTTTTCTCCCCTGCAATTTCCGCTGATACATAAATATGATTAATCAGCGCGTGATAAAATAATAGAACAGAGCTAGGTAATTACGAAATGGCGTCAAGAAGAAATCCTCGTGGCGGTGAACGTGTCGATCGCTCTTCGTGTGTACCGTGTTATCGTCTGCGAGGTGCGCGCACGACGGCCGTTGGAATCGCCGCGGATCTCGGCCCGTTTCTATTTCCGCGCGCGTTTTTACGCATTCCGCGCGGACAAGCGCAATTATCTTAATCGTCGAGCGACCCGTCGCCCGTGTCAGCGGCGGGGGCTTTTGTTAAGCCTACCGAGCGCGCGCCTTCTCTCCGGGACGGGATCTCAACGACCTATACACACACACACATGTGTCCGCTAATCTCTCGGAATCATCTAAATGCCTACCAACGATCCGTTCCCTCTCGCGGCCGCGCGAGTGTTTCATCATCGAAAATTTCTTAACAGTCGGCCGGCCGGCCTGCCCACCGCGCAACATGCTCACGTATACACACGCATACATACGTGTCCGTGTACACACGCTCGTGTACTCTCGCCTCTTCATTCTTCGCGAGCCCGTAAATCCCTCGAATGATTGATTGCGCCCGCGTCACGTCCATCCATTCGGCCCTTTTGCACGCTCTATGTACCTTATGCACACCTCTTACCTCTCCTTTTTCGTACGCCGCGAAGGCGCGCGCCTTTACTCGGATCGCGCGCGACTATCGATTTTCTCGAATAATTAACGCGCCCCGACGAACGATCCCGCCGACGTGGGGTGGTTCCTGCGATTCGCTCGTCGATAAACACGTCGCGCACTGTGATTTTTCGCGATAGCTTATCGTCCCCGACGAAAGCCGACGATTCCGGCTTATTATCGGTGGCGCGCGTAAGAAACGAGATCGGCCCGGCGAATGATTAATTCCCCGCCGATACCGCGCGCGCGATATCGATCCCTCCTCGCGTGTAATTCGATTAACGGGCGGGAGATGTGTAAAGGTGCCGATACCCGGTGCTAAAACTCGGAAATTTATTAGAGCTTAATACTACCGTACCGTGTCGGTCTCGCTTATACTACTTTAATTAACTGCCCGCTGATACCGCATCTGATATCGTTGATATCGGTCGATCCCGCGTGCGATTCAATTACCGCGCGAAACGCGCACTCTGTGCCACTCTCTCTCTCTCTCTCTCTCTCTGAGACCGGGGAAATTTATCCACTTTTGTTACCCGTATTTTGCGAATTTCGCGTTCACCGGTTTAGAACAGTGCAGTTGATCTCTCTATGATTTATCCCGTGCGCACCACCACTTCGTGTCTCCAGATGCCGAGATCAGTGGGAAATCGAGAAACGAGGAGAAATGAACTTTATCACGGTCGGTATCTTGTACGCTGTACCATTCCCAAGACGGGAGGGGGGGAGTTACACGATTTCCAGCCTGTAGCCAGTAACTGGGAGAAATGAGTATAATCGGATCTACCTGACAACCAAACGCGTTTCGGTCGAAGGAGACAGAACTTCTGGTTATAAGAACTAATAAATTTCATTCATGAGAAATGGAAATGTTGTTTCCTCGAACCAAAATGCGTTTGATTGTCCACTGCCAGGCAAATTTAATCAAATATACTTTTCAACGTAGTAAAAGAATCGTAGATGAAGTCATTTTTCTCGTGAGTGTTACTATAGGTGATAATAACCTCACACATTGTTACCACTATTTTTGCAGCTAAAACCATAAAAAAGGGGTTATTATTACAGCTGA